CTTCCCCCCCCCCCCTTCCTTTGGCGATGTGATAGCCAGGTCCGATGAAATCCCGGCGTGCTCCGTCCCGGCTTTGAAGGGATGCGAAATCAATGGTCTAACGACTACGGCATGCACGGCTAAGAGGTACCCCCCCTCCCCCCCCTTTGGGCGCGATTGTTATGCCTTCATACCTGTACGGACGAGAACGTCGTCGCCGGTGGGTCTATCCAGCTCAGCGTCGCGCGGAGGTCGATGCCGGCGGCGGCGTCGACGGCGAAGGAGTACTCGGTCAGGGTCAGCTCGGCGGTGCTCGTGACGGCCGAGTCGGCCACGAACAAGGCGTTGTCCCCTTCCCCCGCGAGAGGCATGCCTGCCTCGAGGTGCACGCGGCCGAACCCCCGAAGGCCGTCGGGCTCTGCGCTGCCGCCCATGAGGTTCGCGCTGTTGATGAGCATCGCCTGGATGTTTGTTGTGTGTGTGTGGGGGGTACTGATGTAAACGCATGCCGTAGTCGTATGCGTAAGACCAGGGGGAGGGGGTTGATGCCCAGGAGTTGCACATGGCTGGAGCGAGAGGAACTGAACGGCCATGGTCATACATAATCCTCTTTGTTGAGGGGCACGAAGTGTGCGAATCTCCGAAATCGCATGGGAGAAACGCAGAAACTTTGTTGCTCGAGGTTGTGTTACCGTACTCGAACCACCTGCCCCCCCACCCCACTCCCAGAAAGCGAAACCGCCCTGTAGCATGCATGTCTGACCTTCACGGTGGCCGCGGACGGCGCGAACGGCTCGCAACCGAACGAGTCGCAGAAGCCTCTTTCCTCCACGTCGTGCGCGTAGAACGTTTCGTTCTTGAAGTACTGTCGAACCTATCGGGAAGAAAAGGTGCACCCAGTCAAGTGCCAAAAAAGCGTCGGATGAGCAAAACAATAAACGATGTTCGAACCAACGAGAGTTGTTGCGTAGCATGCAGGTGAAGACAGATGAAAAAAAAAGGAAAAGCGACGACCGCGTGTGCCGATTCTTTGCGATTCGAGATTCCCGCAGGGTGCTCTTTCACACAAATATTGCCTCCGTAAGAGGAGAAAAAAAAAAAACACGATCATACTCCCCTGTACCTGTTGCGCATTGCTG